TTCTAACTGTCAAGGCCCCTATATTAGCAGCGCGCCACCCGCATTCGCAAGGTCCAAGGAGGACGTAGCTCTGGGGCTAGGCAAGGCAGCAGCAGTAGATGTACACACTTCAATGCAGATCAGCGATCGCTGCTTGAGTTGCTTGTGGGATGTAGTCTCAGCATTTTGCTACCTTGATTTCGCCCAATTCGTGTCTCAACAAGACCGCTTGAGTGCTATTTCGTATCTGCATTACGAGTGTACTAACGGTGCTGTGATTAGCCATTCCGCCGCTGCTTATAATGGCGTCGTAGTGATCAACACAGGCCCGAGTTACTGTCATCCGAACACAGTAGTCCTATGACCGTTGACGGAGTACTAACGACTTGCAGTATCATCCCACAAGGCAGCTTCATAAAACAGGTGTCTAAAACCCTAAAACTCAAAAGCTATATCTCCTTAGAGTCTTAGAGGGCTGAAACCCTAAAGCNNTAGACCTTGAGCAGTAGGAGTCTTACAAGAAAGAGCCTCAGGCATGGGCCCCTCTCTTCAGCAGGCCCCCATCTTACAGGGGCCTAAATTCATTGCCAAAACATTCCTTGCAACCTCCTCTATTGACCAAGGCGGAGGCTACAACCGAATCCGTACTGAAAACTCTCGTTCTACATCTTCAGCCCTTGTGCAGGCTGAAATGAAATAACTACCAATACTTTTCCCTAGGGTTCCCCATTATAGCCTATACTGCGCCCCAGGTTCTGATTATCCAGGCCCATAGCCGTATTATATACCCCTAAACAGGACATGAAGGCGCCAAAACCACAAGAGTAAGGGTTCCTAGATTCTCCCCAACCATGCTACATCCTGAAACCTGAGGCTCACAGGATTCCTGTCCTGTTCCTGCCTAATTTTGCGAGGTCTCTTGAAGCTGAGATAGGAACCTGATGAAGAAATCCTGGGTCTTTATTAGGGCTCTTAGTATGAATCTTAATGTGATGGGGGTTATGGGGCCAGGGTGCACTACGCTGTTCGAGGGTGGTTTTAGCAAAGGGTCCTATACGATTGAGGATCTATGTTAGGGTTGAGGGTTCACGGCTGATGGTTTAGCAGTTTAGCGTTTAGGGTCCCTTGTTGATTCCAGACTTTCAGCAAGGCCACGCACCGAAGGCGCGTAGCCGTCTTGGCACCGTGCCTCACCTGAGCTCTCCCCAGAAAGCCCCACACACCCTATCTTATCGTTGGTTGTTGAATTCTACATACACCAGCGAAAACAAGAAGCAGCTAGCCGGTTTTTTGAAGCAAAGCAAAGGTCTGCATGCCTTCAGTGTCGACACCCTGAGCCGGCTAGCCCATCTCTGAACCTCAAAGGACTCAGAACCCGAGTATACCTGAAAGCATCCGAGAACCCTCAATGCTACCAAACGTGGGCCCAAGTGGCAGTTGCTGCCAGACTCGATGCGGCTGCCTCTGCCATCTCCGCAGCCCGTTCCAAAGGCCCGATCGATGGGCTCCATGCGGCAGGGGTCCGGTCGGCATTCCTGGGCATGGGCTTCAGGGTTTAGGAATTTTAGTTTTAGAGTTTAGGGTTGTAGTAGCTCTCAGGCTTGGGTGGTAGGGCTTTGGGTTTCAATCCTGAGCTTTGCGGGTGTCGGGTGTGAAAGGATAGTGGGATGTCTAAACCAGGTAGAACGACAATATGATCATCGTGATGGAGGGGCTGCTAACGGTGTCGAACCTGAGTAGGGTCCAGGTTGCCGAATAACTCCGCACAAGCGAACTTCCCACTTCAAGGAACAGCAACACTTCAACCACAAATGGGTAATTTATACGAGCACAACCTACCCTAAAATCGACAATCAAACAAACCATTTGTTCTGTAAAGACCCCTGACCAAGCAACGGCTAAGTCTCATCCCCGAACCCTTGGAACCCCACAGCCCAGAACGACAAGAAAGTTCCAGAACGGCGCATTGAATATAGATGCACACATATAAGCCTACACCTGCAACAGCATCACGAAGATACGCCCGAAGCCCTATTCTAATCAGAAAGGCCTCTACAACATTTGAACTCCTCAAACCCTAAGCCCCTATACGTCCTGATCCTACAAAAGCCCAACCCCGATAACCCTTCCAATTCTATTGATGTTATCCAACCCTTTTCAAAGGCGTCTAGAACACTTATAGAACTCTTATAGAACCCTTGAAAACCACTCAAGAATCCTTCTAGAACTCTGATGGAACCCTTTTCAAACCTCTCTAGAACCTTTATAGAACTCCTCTTGACACACAGAAGTAAAAACCTCCGTAACGAGTCACCCACGTCGGAGGCGTGAGTTTCGAGGCCGCGCATGTCAGGCCGGTTTCAGAAGGGCTGAAGCCCGTCCTGGTTGGGGCCGAGGGCTGGGCTGAGATTATAGGGTTTTAAGGTTGCCACTCTAACAGTTGAGACAAAGTCTTGACGACTCTGCATACAAGATCCTATAACGTAGGGGCTTAATGATTGCAATAGGGTTTTGCAAAGGACCCTAAGAGGAATGACATTGGTAATTCAATAGGCTTCAATTCGGCTTCAATCAAATGCTAGCGAAACCAGAATTGGATTCTATACCCGATGTGAGCATGGGACGACGAATACCATGTCCTATCTCAACTCCGAACAGCCTACAAACGAAACACCAGTTCCTCAACAAACCCATTCAGGTGTTGGAATATGGTATACTATATGCACACAGTTATGCAGAGGAAAAGATGAACTCACGACAATCGCCGCTGTTGCTGCAGCCCCTCTGTTACACCGGATACTTGATAAAGCCATCCAGCCGAATGAAAGGACACATTGGTTTAAGGACATGACTTCAATTGGGTCCCCTTCAGCAGTTGGGTCCCCTAAACCCTAAACCACCTTCATGGGTAGAAGCTCCAGCCCTAAAGCTTACACCGCCTACCGAAGTGCATGCACAGGTTCTTGCAAACGGGCGCGCAGGTGGTGCCAGCAGCCACAGTCTTGCCACGAATGCCCCTGCAGCCACTGCCCTCCCTGTTGGCCTCGGAAAAGGGGGTTGTTGAAGAAAATTTAGGGGTTGGAAGTACAGCAGTGCTCTCTTATGCTCACTCAACATCTCTGGTCTAACTATGGAAGGCCCACAAATATGGGTAGTCTTTTTGGGCTCTTCAGTGGCTGTGTTTAAGCACCGAAGTAATGTAGGTGCCTTAATAATAAAAATAGGGTTTTGGGGTACATTATACTATAGTTACTATAGTTATAATAAGGAACCCCCGAAATAGTATGGGTAGTAGTTAAGGCGCCTATAGTAGCTGCCCTGAACCCAATTGCACATCTGGCTGCCACATCCGGGATCACGCAGGGCTCCGGGTTGCAAGAGAACGAAGCTGGTGCCAGCTTGCCTGAGACAGCGAAGGAGACAAAAGCACCCAAACCGCACAATGATTCTCGGCAACCGCTGCAGTTCAGAGCACCCAAAGCACATTATGAATGTAGGAAGGAAGTGCGAAGTGCCTAGTTCGGGGGAACTTCGTTACACCCGGATACCCTGAACCTTACGTCTAAAAGTTCCGTCTTTCACGGCACAAAGAAGACATATCCCCAAAATCGAAGGAGACATGTCGCCTCGGCTGCAGAAGCAGCTCGCAAAAGCTCGTGTTGGCGGCTTCGGGTCACGGGAGGGGTCAGAAATCAGGTGCCTACATGTGCCCTTGGATTCCTCCGGCCTGTAGAGCATCTTCAACCCCGAGACCGAGAATGCCCGAATATAGGGGCCTCAATAATTCTAAATAGGGTCTGGGGATACATTATACTATCATTATAGTGTGGAACCTGGTAAATATTTTTTGGCAGCACAATCACTCTGAGCTCCATTATTAAAGCCCTATATTGGTTCTGCCACAGCAGGATCTGGACAGGAACCGCCTTCAACTTCGAAGACCGCAAGCACATCCTAAACCCAAAATCAAAAACCATGCAAGCCCTAAGCATCCACGAACCCAAGATGCCACAGTTCTTCCCGGAATCATACAAGTCTAACTCCAAAAAGCCAAACCTCAGATCCTAAACCCTAACAGCGAAAAACCCAAACCCAACCCACATTCTGCCGATATGCAAACCCTCGAGATTGTAAAGATCGCCCCTCGTAAATTCCAAGATGCCCATGCTGCACGCCAGCGAGGCGACTGAGGGCCGATATCCCTCGGCACACTGCGTGGTGCCTTCGGATGGGGTTTAAGGTTGGGGGTTTGGGGTGCTGGGGTTTGGGATGATGAGCGATTGGGTTAACGGTGTAGGGTTTCGGGTTTGGGTCGTTGGGGTTAGTGTAAAAGTTAGGGCTTAAGGCTTCTTCGGGTTTTGCAAGGATTCTATGAGGGCTTCATAAGGACTCCATGAGAGCTTCATTCTCTTACTGCGGGTTGGGGCCAAGGGCTTTGAGGATTCGGGTTTAGGCTACCTAAGCTATCATAGGGTTACTGCATAAAGGGCACACTGCGAAAGCACCATATCAATACGGTGTTGGAGCATATGTTGCTACATTCATGAGGAGTTTAAACAAAAGCTTAGCCAGTGAAGCGCCTTCACAAGAGCCGATTGTATTCTGAAATCTAAATCGGAAGGGCACCGGGATATCCATAGGGGAAATGTGCCACTCCTGACCAGCAGAGCCACTCACATTTAAGTCGCAGACCGAAACAGAAAGCCTCAACCCAGGCCCAAACTCTGAATCCACAAGCCTAAATCGTAGCGGCATGATGCAAACCCTCAATGAATGAAGAGCGCGAGCGGCCCGAGCCCACTTTTCGGGCTTTCGGCTTTGAAGCTCGTGCGCCCGAACAGTATTAAGCCTGAACCCAATGTAAAGCAGCATCTTTATTCGTTGCCTAAATTCATGACACTAGATTGACCTCGTATAATAAAACCCTTCCAGCCCCAATGCTTCAACAAACTGCGCGTACTATTGAATACCAAAGCCTGTTGAACATCAATCACGTCCGCACACTAATCCCCGGCAAGATAGTATCCTTCGGATTCCTTGAACATACCCTGGAATGAACCCCTTTCTCACTAATACGACCGTTGGTTTTTCCAAGAGCTTTCGGCCCCTTCTGCGCTACGCCGAAAGGCAGAGGTTGCCCGCTTCCACTTTCTCCCCCTCCTTCGGAAAGGTCTCGGGCTTGCAGAATTTAGGGTTTCATGGGGTCTCGGGTTTACGGAATTTTCGGGTCTTATAGGCTTATAGTGGTTTAGGAACACAGGGTTTAGGGTTTACAGGAGTCTCAAGGTTTCGTTTTAGGTTTATGGGTTCAGGGTCGGGGGCTGCTAGGGCAAGCGACACCCTTTCTGATGCTTTACTTGTAGGGCCGTATGGTGAGCCTTTTTGAGGTTCTAGAGGGACCCTGGTTATCATGAGAATCCCTCAACCAAGGCCGAGGGGTGGTGGATTGTTACAAATGAAGGCATATTCTCGGTTTCGACACACACTCGCACGAAGCTGGCATTCTCGGTTTGGGGTTTAGGGCCAGGCCTATTCCTGAAATATGGGGTGTTGGAGTCTCCTGTATTCTCCAGACCCGGGGTCAGACCGAATACCTCGAAGTTTGGCAGGTTTTACGTCCATTGAACACAGGGGTTTTGACCTACCGTGGAGCTGCAAGGGCAGCGACATGCCAATCACTGTACTGCCCATCTTCTGCTAAGCTTACCAAGGACATGCTTTCTGACTAGGGGCCCTAAGGCTAAGGATGGGTTACAAGACGATGCGTGCAAAAGCCTCTGTCCCATCTGAAGAAGACCTCATTGCCCCTGGCCAAACCAGCAAATCCCACTTCAACAAAGCCCTGTTGCTCAAACTTGTAGGACCCTTCTAAACCCCGAGAAGATGTGCCAGGTCTGCCTGCAGCTATTAACACCCTACTCTTGGCCTGTAGGCCACCTCTCTCTCAAACCTGGGGGGTTGTGAAGAAGCGAGATTGGTGGCCTTTGGAAATACGCTTTCTCCCCGAGGGCCCAGGGGGCATTTTTACAACTGGTACTATAGGAACACAAGAAATGGCATTCTTTAACTTCAAAAAGAGCGGCAACATAAATCAGCGACAAATTTGGAAGTCAAGGTCAGGCATTGGAGAACGAGTTGGCATAAATAAGGGTCTCAGTTCGTACCTGAAAGCGCCAAAGGCTGGAAGCTCCGAGCATAAGCCGTGCAAACTTCGGTCCTTGCAGTGGTTCGGGGCCGCATGCGTAATGCCGGAAGGTGCTTGGCAGGCATCTTCGATGCCTTGAAATTCAGCCCTTTTTGGACGAGTACTAAATATAATTAGGGTAGTACTCCCAATAACCAAAACTAAAATAACTGTTATCCCTACTATAACTGAGTATTATAACTACAGTAGTATGAGAATTATAATCATACACCCCAAACCCTCATTTTAGGAAGCTTTGGCTTGGGAGCGGCATTGGGAGCTAAGCTTTAGGGCGGGGCCTTTCAATCCAAAATGGTTTAGGTTTAG